CCCCTACTGCCGCACCGGTGAGCCCCGACCCTTGACCCCACTGCGACCCCTGACCCGACCCCTACTGCCGCACCGGTGAGCCCTGACCGCTGACCCCACCGCGACCCCTGACCCCACCCCGACCCCTACTGCCACACCAGTGAGCCCCTGTGACGGAGCGGGGACTGGGGGGGACTGGCCTGGGGATGGGGCGGGGGAGTTTTACTGGGACTGGCTGCATGGGGGATGGGATATCGGGGTGACGTCACTTGCGGGACGATACCTGAGCCTGTAACCTGAGCCCAGGGGGGCTGGGGCCAGGTGACACCTTCTGCCCAGGAAACTGGACAAAGGCTGGCGGAGGAGCCGGAGAGGGGCTGGCTGAGGAAACGGAGGGAGCCCCAGGGCCGGAGTCTGGGCTCCCCACCCCCCAGATGGACCTGACTGAGGGGTCCTGTTTCCTGTACCTACAAGCTCTGTTGTAGACCATGTTCCTGTCGTCTAATAAACCTCTGTGTCACTGGCTGGCTGAGAGTCCTGGTGAATCACAGGAAGTGGGGGGTGCAGGGCCCTGACTCCCCCACACGCCGTGACAGCCTCACACCTGGACGCCTGGGTTCTATCCCGGGCAGGGGAGGGCTGCGAGCCCGGACGCCTGGGTTCTCTGCTGTTGATGTTAGCTGCTAATCTTCCCCATCTCTCTCTTTCTCTCTCTCGTTCCTTCTGTCCTGGGGTCCGGGCCTGCAGTTGTCACAGTAAGTGCCTTCCACTTCCTATCTCAGCTGGGGGGCGGGATCCATGGGGAGGGGGGTGTAGCAGGTCTTCACTTCCCAGGGGGTGGAGGATTCCCCCTGGGACTCCATCCCCAATATGGGGCCGGAATCTGGCCTCCCGTTGTCTTGCTGTGTCTGCCCCTGCCTGGGAGGTGTCTGCGGGCAGCCCCCAGAGGCTGGGGGGTTCTGGGCTCTGTGACCGCCCCTCACTTGTGCCTGGCCCCCCAGAACGAGTACATGAAGGACGATTTCATCATCAAGATCGAGACGTGGCACAAACCCGACCTGGGCACCCAGGACAATGTAAGTAAGCCCAGCCCCGCCCCCTGGCAGCTCCACCCCCGGTGCCCCCCCTCCCCGTGGCCAGGCCAGAGCCCACCCCCGTCAGCCCCCCTCCGGCAGTTCCGCCCCCCCAGTACGCCCCGCGGCCAGGCCTGGCCCCATCCTCCTGTCAGTCCCGCTCCCGGTGCCCCCCGTGCCCCCAGCCCCGCCCCCTGGCAGCTCCGCCCCCCCAGTACGCCCCACGGCCATGCCAGGCCCAATCCCCCTGGCAGCCCCGCCCCAGCCAGGCCAGTGTGAGTCAGCCCCGCTCCCCAGGGAAGGAGGCCAAAGTAGGGGAGCGCCCTGGGGGTGGGTGTCCCCCCTTAGCCAGCGCCTCCCCCGACCTGGGCAGTGAGACCACTTACCCATAATGCTCTGCTCCCCCCTCGCTGACGGCTTCCCTCCCTGCCCGGGGCAGGTTCACGGTCTGGACACAGAGACATGGAAGGACGTGGAAGTCGTTCACATAGACATCGCTGACCGGACCCAGGTGTCCGAGGAGGTGAGAGCCCGCGCACACCGCCGGTGCCCCTCACTCCCGACCCGCAGCCCCTGCTAGCCCAGCCCTGACTGCAGGGTGTCCGGAGGCAGGTCAGCACTAAGTCCCTCTCTCTGTGCCAGGATTACAAAGCAGACGAAGATCCGGCTCTTTTCACATCCGTGAAGACGGGGCGAGGGCCACTCGGTCCAGACTGGAAGGTACCTGCTGCCTAGTGGCTTAGAGCAGCGAGAGAGATGGGAGGGGCTGGGAGCCCGGACTCCTGGGTTCAGGGCGGCCTGTCTGCACCTGTTTGCGTCGTCCCATTGAACACGGTTTGTTGAGGAAATCCGCCTCCCCACTCTGAGAATTGTACGGGGGGGTTGACAAACGTGCACAAGGGGGACACGAGGGATCTAGTGAACGTGGACTGTCCGAAAGCCTTGGACAAGGCCCCTCCCCAAAGGCTCTTACGCAAAGGGAGCTGTCGTGGGATAAGGGGGCAGGTCCTCTCATGGATCGGGAACTGGTTAAAAGACAGGGAACAAAGGGCAGGAAGAAATGGTCAGTTCTCAGAATGGAGAGAGGTAACTAGTGGTGTCCCCCAGGGGTCTGTTCTGGGCCCCGTCCTAGTCAACAGAGTCATAAACCATCTGGAAAAGGGGTAAACAGGGAGGTGGCAAAATGTGCAGACGATACAAAACTACTCAGGATAGTTAAGTCCCAGGCAGGCTGTGAAGAGCTACAAAAGGATCTCACAACACTGGGTGGCTGGGCAACAAAATGGCCAATGAAATTCAGTGCTGATCGATGCGAAGTAATGCACATTGGAAACCAGACTCCCAGTGCTGGGGTCTGAATGAGCCGTTCCCACTCGGGGGATCTTGGCGGCACTGCGGAGAGTTCTCTGGAAACATCCAGAATCTGCAGCCGCAGCCAAAAGTTTGAGCAGAATGTTGGGAACCATTAGGAAAGGGAGAGAGAATAAGACAGAAAATCTCATGTTAGCGCTATATAAATCCCTGGTGTCACGGCATCCCCGGGCGATGCGCTGGAACTGCTCCCCACAAAGCCAGTCAGGACTTTGGGGAGCCTCCTCTCCCTCGGAGCAGACTGTCTCCAGGGCAAGGAGCTCACACGGCTTCACCTCCTGGGTCTCTCCTGGGAGCATTCAGCATATGCCCCTCTGTGCGCGTCCCACAGCGAGTCCGCCCAGGCAGGGTCCTGGGGGAGCCAGACGGTCCTGCACCCCCACTTCACAGTCAGACGTGACTCTCAGCCAGCCGGGGACACAGACGGTTTATTATTCGACAGGAACGCGGCGTAGGGCAGAGCTTGTTAGCACAGAAATCAGTGACCTTCAGCTAAGTCCATCTTGGGGGGAGGGGAACCCAGAGCCAGGGCTCCGGCCCCACCCCTGCACCCCAAGCCAGCCGAGACCGACTCCTTCCAGCTGCCTGGCCCCTGCCCGGCCCGTTGCTCCTCCTCCGTCTTGGGCCAAGAGTCACCTGGTCGCGTCCCCCCCGGCTCTCAGGTTATGAAGGGGCGGCCATAGCATCCCTGCAGGCAGCTGGAGCAGCCCCCGCAAGTCACCCCCCCTTATTCCCACCTCCTGGACATTGGTGCAATACACAGGGAAACTGAGGCACGCACAGCATTCATGCCAAACAGCCAGACTCACATAGGTTCCCGTACAACATAACAAGGGACAGTCCCCCTTCGTCACACGTGGGACGCCCACACCTTGAACTGTGTGTAGATCTGGTCGCCCCACCTCCAAGCAGACAGACTGGAATCGGAACAGGGACAGAAAAGGGAACAGAAATGATTAGGGGCATGGAACGGCTGCTGTGTGAGGAGAGATTAATAAGACTGGGGCTGTTCAGCTTGGCAAAGAGACGGCTAAGGGGAGATACGATTGAGGTCTATAAAATCATGACTGGTGTGGAGAAAGTAGATAAGGAAGTGTTGTTTACTCCTCCTCATAACACAAGAACTAGGGGTCACCCAATGACATTAGTTGGCAGCAGGTTTAAAACAAACAAAGGAAGTATTTCTTCCCCCAACGCCCGGACAGCCTCGGTGCCAGGGGGATGTTGTGAAGGCCAAGGCTATAACAGGGCTCAACAAAGAACTAGCCAAGTTCCTGGAGGATGGGTCCATCTCTGGCTAGTGGCCAGGCAGGGCAGGGACGCACCCCCCTGCTCTGAGCAGCCCTTGAGACACAACAAATCCCACACCTTGGCAGGGGTTAGCCTGGATGTCCCTTGTGCCCCGTCTAACCCCATGGTCAGCTGGGGCTGGGCGCCGGGCTGGACACTGGAGAATTGCTCCAGAGGGAATGACCAGAACAGGGCGCCTGGCACTGCCCGCTCTCGGCCGGCGGGACCGTTATTACATCCTTTGCGTCCTTTCCTAGCGGGAACTGGCCAGTAACCAGGAGTCTCCCCACATGTGCGCCTACAAGCTGGTGACGGTGAACTTCCGCTGGTGGGGCCTGCAGGGTCGCATGGAGAAATTCATACACAAGGTGAGACGGCGCCGTCCCCCTCCACGGGGCGCCGGCTCCCACCCGCCCCGGGGCCGGGCCGGCTGGCTCAGGGGTGGGGAACGGGACACGGGGCCTGTCCCCTCTGGCCCCCAATATGACGCCGCTCTCTGTCTCTTCCCCTAGCAAGAGCAACGGCTCTTCACCAATTTCAACCGGCAGCTCTTCTGCTGGCTGGACAGGTGGGTGGATCTGAGCATGGCCGACATTCGCCGCATGGGGGGGGGGACGCAGAAGGGGGTGGGAGGAGGTGGGGGGGGGGGGGGGTCTGCCCCCTAGGGGAGGAGGCAGGTTTCTGTGGGGGCGGGGCTAGCCAGGGCTTAACCCCGCCCTCTCCCCCTTGCAGATGAGGCAGAAGGGCGCAGTGCGGGGGATGGCGGCCGGAGACGAGTGACCCCGGCCGGTGCCACAGGACACTGACATGGTACGTGGGGGAAGGTGGGGCTGGACGGGGCCAGGGAGAGGGGCGCAGGGCCTGGAGGACCCCCCCCCCCCCAGGTCTCCACCTTCCCTGGATTGGGGCTTTGAGCTGGGGGGTGAGGGGCTCTCGGGACAGGAATTGGGGGACTGGATCTGGGGTCCCCAGTCTCTTGCTAACGCCACCGTCTCCCCTAGGACTCTGCCCCCTCCCGCCTGGGAGCGAGGACCCAGCTGCCTTCGTGGGACCCCGGGGATCCCCCTTCTCTCTCCGTCCAGCTGGGGGCGCTGGGAACCCCCTTCCC